GTATAAATTCAAACTATAATAATCTTCTTCATGAGAATAAAACGTGCCAAAAAAAAAAAAAACATCACTCACCCGCTCTGCCTCTTGTTCTTTCAACTCTCTTACTGGCACTGCCAGGAGCCCCAGTGCACCGTACGCGTTCGGTACAAGCCTGGACTCCACTATCTGCAGAGATATGCAACAAAATATAACCTGTACTCTTACTGCACAGACATGTTTACAGGAGAAAATAAAAGAGCAACTGTGGAGTCGTCAACCTTAGTCTCTGTGTCTTCTTTCTGTCTGAGGTAAACCCGATTCCCAGATGAATCTGTTACACTGACGTACTCTCCCTCCAAAGGAGGTCGTTTCAGCACGTGCAGGGAGGCTGGTACTGTCAGAGGTCGACTGGGAGTCTCTGGGATTTCAGCCAAGCCGCTAATATCCAACACAGCAGGAGGAGACCTTAAAAAAAKAAGTTATTAACAAGGTTTTTTAGTATCTGAGTCAAAGGACTGGCGTCAGCTTACAGTGACCAGAACAAGTTAGAATGTGGACCTCTTCCACGGTCACTGCAGAGAAATGGTTATCTGTACTTGTGTTTAGTAGACTTCTTTTAGTTTTCCCAACATTCAGCACACGTCTTTCCTACCTGAAGGTATGTGAAGGCTCATAGTGCTCAGGGGAGGACGGAGGTGTGATGTCATCATGCCGTGAAGGGACTGTACRCTCCTGACTTTCTGAAGCCTTAAAAAGCTGCTTCACCACGCCTGCATCCTGCTTCTGACGCTTTGCCTTTGGAGCTGAAAGAAGCGGTTTAAACTCAAGCTATAGCTGAAAAAGTTTTCCACTTGACTCTGTTCTGAATACCACTCAGTCAGAGGTTCTGCTGTCCTTAACCAGTTTGAGAAAATGAAACACGTGGACATCCTCCTCACGTTTTAAGGAAGGTTTTATTTTTAATTTGCTGGGTCTGATTGTTAAACAGCAGTCTCAGTTCAGGTGTCGTTCGGCCGTTAATGAAGAAAACTAACCTTGACTCATCTGTCTTTTCAAATTTTAGGTCAATTTTTTTAGCAAAACTTTATTTAACCAGGCAAATCACTTTTTTGTTCAAGGGAGGTCCTGATGCATCTCAGTAATCCAGGTAAAAAATCAAAAAGAAAAAAAATTGTATAGGTCCTCTGGACGGGT